TCGTTTTGGCTGTCAGTCGGTGGTTTCGTTTCCCTTGTTTCGGTGGTTTTGTTTTGGACGTTCCGTTTCGGTCGTTTCGTTTCGGCAGTTTCGGTCGTTTCGGTTGTTTCAGTCGTTTCGCTGTTTCTAGTTTTAGTCCATGCCCCAAAGAACAGCAGAAGTTTGGCTTGTTAAGGTTTCCTTAAAACACGTCCATACCGTCGACAATAGGTAAAATGCCATTGAAGTATCACTTAAGTGTCAGTGAAGTATTGGTGAAGCATCGGCCAAGTGTCGACCAAGTGTCGGCCAAGTGTCGGTCAAATATCGACCGACTGTCTACCGACTATCGGCCGACATATATCGGTCGGCATATCGACCAACATGTCGACCGACTATTTTCCGACTATCGACCGACTATCGACCGACTACCGACCGGCTGTCGACCGACTGTCGACCGACTATCGACCGACTGTCGACCGACACTACTTATAGTAACATTGATCCGACTTTGCTGAAACAAACTATCGCTTACCTCAGGGGTTTCCTCGTGTTTTTCATCGCTTATTCCATCGTTTCAAAGAACAACAGCTCGGTTAAAGAAAACATTTCCATCATGCTGACGACCGACTTCTCTCCCTTGGAGAGGTATATTTTCAGACGTAGTAAGCTGTTTATTTAATACGTCGACAAGTAAGAAGACAAGCTCTACATACATAAATATAACTAATAAACTTAAATGAGTTGTTTCCAAGCGATTTGTGACTAATTTTGTAATACCTCGAGACCATTACGCGATGACGGATTTCACAATAGACCTCACGCAAGGAGAGAAGTTTATCAGTATATTTGATTTTAGGAGAAATCGCAGTCGTCGACATGACATTGAATAAAACTGCCTCTATTTGAGTTCATGACACTAGTTAGTATCAACTTTATACTAACTGGAATAAATGTTTTCTTCGTTCAGGTACCAAAATATCTGTCTAACACTAGGATGGAAAATATTGATGCTACTGGGATAAAGGAGAGTCTTCAAATTACGAAGTAAGATGGGAGCTTCCGGCTGGTTTCTCACGCGGGCGTGAGAGAAACGTGCGAAAAAAGCGCGAGATCAAAAGATGAAAATTCAAAACAAAGATGGCGGCGCGTGGAATTTTTTCTACTTTTGTGAGAAGTTTACCTAAGAGCTTGTATTTGATGTGTTGAGCGGCCACTGTGAATGCAGGAGATAGAAACTAAGATAACGAAGACGATTTTCGGAGAAGTAAAGGTTGCTTCACTTCACATTTAAAAGAAATATTCAACCGATATGAAATCTTGCGACGGCGAAAAAAGAAGAACTCAAGTGAAGGATAATCTACCTGAAGTGGAAGAAGACTTTGAAACTTCAAGGAAAATAATATGATATAGCCAGAAGTCATGTGTAGGATTTTTAAGATGAGCTCGGGAGGCTGTCTTTGACGGCTGTTTAATGATTTTCTTAGCAGTAAACGTCTGTAAACATCAGATCGTAGGTGCTCGCGCGAGCACACGCAATTGTCAGCGGTAGCTAAAACAGATCATGAGCAAATGTCGATCTTATAGAATCCAGATTTTTAAATGCGCGAGAACGCGCGTGGAAATTGCTAAACTCACGAAAGCTATTGCATGAAAACAAGTCCGGTGACCCCTTCTTTTTATTGTTCCAATATGATAATAACGTCGAAAGGAATCATCAGAAAAAAAA